GGTCAGTCCGGTTTGAATTGGGTTTCTGTCACTCGTCACTGAGAGAATCCAGACTGACAGAAAGTGGTTGTGAGACATGGGTTTTTATATCCAATGGAACACTCGTTTCCATGGCATTTCTGTGGCCCCTCCAACATTGCCACTTGGTGGCCTTTCATCAGCCACAACGGCACGACTCTGTTCCTGCAGTCTTGGGGGGCACACCTGGAATCTGGCAATCTGAGGGGGCCTCAAAAAGACAGTTTGTTTCTACCCTGTGTGGACCCTCTGGAGATAAGCCCCAATATTCTGGGGTTTGGGGATCTGTCTCCTTAACCCCCAGGCACAAGAGCCCCCTTAATCGTGGGGCTCCAACACGAAAAGCCCATGGCTCACACTCACGAAAGCCCTTCCCTTTCGCAGTTTCCATCCTGCTGACCGGGGCCAGGAGAAAGTCTCGGTGAGATGCTGTTGCCCTCACCCTTCATGACAAAGACACGCCAGCCTTGTGGGAGGCAGCCGCTTGCCCAAATGCAAAAACACTGCTGTTCTCATTGTACTTGGGTTTGCAGTGACCTTTTAAAAAAGGCAGTGGAGACTGGTTTTTCATTTACAGTCATAATTTAAGACTTCCTTTTCAAATACTATTTAAGCTTCAAAAAGTACGTCCAGTTCAATAAAATCTCAAATAATGGAACAGACGGCCCTGGGATGCTGCAAATGCTCCACAAGGACTGAATCTAACTGCTCTTGGTGTCGCCGGGCCTGTCTGAGCCGCTAAGGCTCACCAAAGGTTTGGCCGGATCGAATCCAACCAGTAAACCCTGGCAGGGCTCCCCAGTGACACAGCCGATGTGGCCCAAGGACACCAGATGCAAACAAGACGCCAGCTTCTGTGTGTCTCTCCTTCTCTTACGCTTCTGGTAAAGGCGGCCAGCCAAGCTCCTGCCGGTCTCCGAGGATCACCCAGACACAGGGATTTTCCCAATCACCTTGACAATGTATCCATAATGGAGGCTGCTTCCTGACCCCTGTGTCCTGGAACCAGTTCCTCTGGGGGCATGTGACGCTTCTGAGTGACAACTCAGGGAAGGGTGTCAGATGCACACGAGCAAAGAGCAAACGAATCCACGGCCCGCCTTCCCCCGCCCCAAACTCGCAATGAGGGCACGAGACGAGCCCCTCTGTCTGTGTCCCACCCCAGTTCTCTCAACCAGACCCTAATTAGGATGGACGGCTGTTCTCCACCCGGGACTGGAAGGAAGCCTGGAATTAGCTCAGTCGAGAAGCCTTCAGCCCCGAGAACCATCAGAGCTGCCGCACGAATGAGCAGAAAATAGCAGATGATAAATTTTTTAGGACCACCCTCTGCGTTTCGGTTGTAGCAGACTGTGAGATAATGGGCTGGCCTTTTTTGGAACATGCATTATTGATCTGGGTCTGTCTAGTGGTTTATAAAAAGCCCACCGTCCCCCCGCCGCCCCCCCTGACTACCGTCTTCCCATCCCTCACCTCCCGAAAGCTGCACAGCCTCCTTCAAAAGCCAGTTCCGCTGGGGAGGGGGCGGCTCGAGCGTGGAAGGGAAGGTTCACAGGCACTGGGCATCTATGCAAGGTGGTGTGCGGCGTGGGAGCTGACAGATGCCCCAGAACACGAGGGCTCTCAGTGCACCGAACCCACTGCCTGGAACTTCTCTCTCAGCGTATGCTGAGATGCATGCATAATGACATTCCTGGCAATGGTATTTGTGACAGCGAACACCAACTAATGAACACACGAACAATCTAGAAACAACTCAACAGCCATTCCAGGAGACTGGTTAAGCAGAACAGTGGTTAAGACCAAGGGCTCTGGTTTCAGTCTTGCCTGGCTATAGTCTAGCCATGTGGGTGTGACCTCGGGCAAGAAACTTCATTTTCCTGTGCCTTAATCCCTCCCTCTGTAAAATAGAGTGAATCTATGTATTTCAAGTTAGCTGTGGTTCTCCTTGCTCTCCTCCCTCCTGTGTCCTTATCATGCCCATAGATCCTTTTTCTATATTTGCATATTCTGTTGGTTTTATTCGAGAGTCACAGATGTAAACGTACGATCACATTTTGACATGAGGCTTAGCTGGATCACACTGCTGCCCCAAAAATGTGTTGTTCCTAAGGGTGGCTGTTCAGTCATTCACCTTGGTTCAGGTCAAAAGTCTAGGAGTAGCCCTTGATCTTCTTCTTTTCCTTAATCCCCACAACCAACCATTTGTGACTGCTCCCAACCTGGGTCCAAGCTTCCATCACCCCCTGCCCAATTCCCACAAGCCTCCAAATGGGGCTCCCCGTCTCTGTGCTCTTGCTCTTGGCAATCCCAAATTGAACATCAGCCAGAGGGATCCTGCTGGAACCTAAGTCAGCTCACGGCCCCTGCTAAAGGCCCCCGAACCCATGTCCATCTTACTAAAACTTAAAACCCTCATCATGGCCACAAGGCCCCTCACGACCTGGTCCCAGTCGACTCCTGGCCTTATCTCTCTCCACTTCTATCCCGGCTCTCTCCACCCCACAACCTTCCTTCTGTCCTAACCTACCAAGTTCACTGCTAACTAACACTGTGTCTTTGCCTTTCTGTTCTTGGCCTGGAATGCTCCTTTCCCATCCTCTAGCTCCCAGCACGGTGCGCTGCACAGAGTTGGATGCTTAATAGGTATCTGCCGAATGCACAAGTGGGTGTCTGGGCAGTCTTGAACTCCCAGGCATGACTACCATCGAGGGGCCCTGTGAAGCAAGACCTGTGTGCTCAGAGATCCGGGTGTTACGTGCAAAGGGTCTCTGCAAAATTCTACCAGAAACAAAACTTGCATCCCTATGGCCATGATCTGTAGACTCCCCATGGTCATCAAACACAGTTCAAGCTAGATGCTGCCGGACAGATAGGTATTCTGTATGTCCAACTGTCAATAAAGGCTCTGGGCTTTGATTGCTTCCTGGCTGCAAAGTCTTCTTGCACTTGATAAGCTCCCTGAGAAAAATCTATACTTGTGATCATTAACACAAATCATTATAAGGAGCAACTGGGATGTATATAAATCACCTTTTCTTAGCAGTTAAAAAGGCTGGTGTATGCTTTTAATAATGGATCCAAAAAGAGTGTAGATTCACAGTTGGATCTTCACCACAATCTCAGGTTTTGTTGCAAAGGCTTATCCAGTAAACCTTTACATTAGTTGTCATCTATAATATTCAATTGTCCTTTGACAGTGGATAGAAGCTAAAAAGCCCACCCCTCACCTGGTCAACTATTGGCACTCTCTACCACAACCCACGAGAGCCTCCAAGATTCAGTTCCATCCTCTCTCTCCAGTCTCTATTCCAGCTCCCTTCCCCAGGCTCCAGCCCCATGTGTCTCCTTGCTCCTGCCTCAGGGCCTTTGCACGTGCTGTTTTCCCTTTTTAAAAGGTTTCTCTTCACAGTACACAGTAGCACGGATGATTAGAAGGGAAATCTATAGGAGGAAAATGCACAAGGCGTTGTGTGTTGTCCAATACAGTAGCCACAAGCAGCTATTGAGCACCTGAAAGGTGGCTAGTCCTACATGAGATGTGCTCTAAGTGTAAATTACAGGCCAGATTTCAAAAACAATATAAAAAATGCAACTATCTCCTTAATGACTGATATGTTGAGAGAGAATCATCTGGACGTATGGGGTTAAATAAAATACATTATTAATTTCACCTGTTTTTTTTTAGCATTAAAAAATGTAGCTACTAGAAAATTTATAATTGCTTATATCATTTGCATTTATGGATCCTGTTATATTTCTATAGGGCAGTTCTGTGTACGGTTTCCTGTTGGAGAAATAGAACCTGTAAAATCAGTGAATTCAAGGTGGTGGTGGTGGGGAGAAGACACAAGCTAGGGAGAAAGAAGGCTTACCTTGAGGGAGACCCCCAATGGTGAGCTGGAAATATCAGTGGAGCTTGAGCCTGGGGAGCAGAAGGTGCAGCTGAGACAGACTCTGGAGGGCTCGCTCTTGGCGGCCTCGGGTGTGGAGGCTTGTCCTCAGGCAAAGGGACACGTGGGGGAGAAAAGCCTCACGCAGGTGCAGCACGCACCGCTCAGATGGAGGAGCCTATGGTCTGGTGTGGGAGCACAGGGCTGGAGCCAGGGCGGCTTCTGCACGGGCCAAGGAGCGGCGTGGGGAATGAAGGCGCTGAGACTGTGAGCTGGAGAAGCCCCTGACACGCCTGCCATCGGTGCGAGTGAGCTGAACCCTGCCAAGGGTCCCTGTCCTCACCCGCTTTACCTGGAGCCAAAGCACCGCGAGGGGAGGGCGCTCCACACAGGAGACGGCCAAGCTCATCCTCCTGAGGCACCATCTTTGTGAACAGGGTCAGGTCACTAGCAAGAGTGTCCACCCTCCCCGTCCCTGGATGCCACCAAGGACGGCTGAGCCCACCTGAAGTGGTTAAGACTGGAGGAGCAGGGCCCACATGTGCATGTGTGTACACACACACACACACACACCCCGGCTGGCTCCTTCTCAGCTTCAGTGTCAGCTCAAACATCACCTCCTCTGAGAGGCCCTCCCTGATTACCAATTCAAAGTGGCTCCCCCTCCCTGCCCCCATCCGGTACAGCACTCTCTTAGTATCACCAGCCCGTTTCCCTTCTTGAAATGATCTTCCCCGTGACCTTGCTGATTACCTGTGTCCCTCACTCCACGACAGTAGGGATAGTACCTGTCTTACTCATTACTGAAGTTCCAGGCCCTGCGATCTTGCCCGGCCCACAGCAGGTACTCAATAGAAACTGGGTGAAAATAATGAACTGGACTCAGCATCTCTCCTTAGGACTTCTGGAGCAATCCAGGAAGGGTTCTGCCTCAGGAACGAGTTGGACACCCCTCGCCTTGCGGACCAAGCTGCAAATGCACACGTGGGGGACAAACCCCCATGACTTGGTTTACATCCAAGCGAGCTCCACAGGTCTCCACGGCCAACCTGCGTCAGGAGCCTCAGAGCCTGCGGGCCGGCTGCTTACCGAGCTCCACGTCCTGGTCGTCCGTCAGCACCAGGATGATGTTGGGGCGGATGTTTCTGCGGTCCCTCTGAAACCTGCCTTTCAGGCGGTGGTGGGACAGGAACGCCGAACTTCCCCCCAGCAGAGAGAAAACGGTTGCGGAGAGCAAGCAAAGCAGGAGGCTGGGGGGGGCCATTTTACGTTCTGCCGATCCGGGGCTTCTGGCAGGACCCACGAGTCTGAAGTGGCGTTTTGTGGACGTGTCTCTGGTCCCTTCTTCCCGCTCTACTCACGGATCTAAAGTAGGAAGAAAAGAATCAGGTCAGTCTTTACGTAAAGGCCGCCTGACGGCTCGGGCTTGCATAATGATTCCTGGCATGGACAACGAGGGTTCCTTTGATCAGGGGGAGCTGGGAGCAGAGGAAACCTAACTCGGAGAAAGTGAGAAGGAAAGAACTTACAATGTGCTCAGGTAACAGAGTGGCAGGAAAGCTTTCTGTGACCGCTTCTGCAGACAAGATTTCTCCCCTGGGCCGGCAGTCTTCTGAACGTGCTGGTGGCGGCCCTGGCCCCCATCAGATAGCCAGCCTATCTCCGAACCCGCCAACCGGTTCAGCAGACAGATCAGCCCCAAAGAAAGGAAAAGAAGGAGCCCAGACATTTCTGGGGGCGGGGAGGCAGAGGTGCGCAGGACGCAGTCCCCGCTCTTGGGCAGCCTGTGGCTCAGGTAGGGTGTGGATGAGCAGGGCTACACAACCCTGTGTGTGTTCCAGTCACAGCTCTGTCGCTCGCCAGCTGGGTGTCCTCCCCCTCAAGCCAGTAGGGGACCTCAGTTTTCCCGTGAATAAAATGGGGAGACAGGGTTGTTATAGGAGCTCAAGCCAGCAGGGATGTGTGTGAAGGCGCCCTGCAGACAGATCCCATAGCTGGACAAGTTATTCACATGGGTTTTAAGTTTGCAGAATCAACAAAAGGACAAAAGAGAAAACTGAGGGCTAAAAAGCTACGGGAGAAGAGCTGTCACAGTCTGTTGCGACCTCGGTCACCCCTGGACCCCCCAGGTCAGATGCGGTCACAAGCAAAGGTGGGAGGGAAGGCAGGATGGGCGCATCTTGGCTTGGGCAGGTCTGATCTTGTTCTGCTCTTTGCTCTCTGTGGTCATTTTTCTACTTCTTGAGGAAATGAGCCTTCAAGTCTTTCCAGATATAGACTTTAGGTCTCATTTATTTAAAACGAGAGTGAGCAAGCAGACGTGTCAGGAGGAAACCAAGCTTGTTGGAGGTGGGGCCGCGTGACCTTGAAGGACTCTGCCCACCTCCCCCCCACCCTTGCCGAAGTCCCAGCTCAGGGGACTCATCAAGGGCTCTGGTCCATAGAAGGGGATGAGCCACTGCAACAGCCCCCTAAGAGGTCCCCTGTTTCTCCCGACTGCACCCCCACCCTCCGATTTCTCCAGGGCACCGGCAGGATCTTCCTAAAATGCAAATCCCATGTTATCACTCTGCAGCCTGGCCCAGGCTGAGACCAGCAAGGTGTTCAGGGCACAAGATAGAAGGGACTCACTCACTCCAGGTGGCACCAGTGCGAGGCACTCACTTCACTTTAGCCCCAGTCCTGTCCCTCACCTGCTCAGACCCTCCCTTGGCTTCCCTAGCCCAAGGAATACAATACACACTCCCTACCAGGGCCTATAGGTGATTCAAGTGGTCCAGCCCCTGCCTACTTCTCCTCCTTCCTCCCAATTGCTCCCTAGCTCCACGGGTTTCTTTCTGTTGACAAGTCAAGTGTGTTCCTGCCCCACGACCTTTGCACTTGTTCTTCCTTAAGCCTGGCAGTCTTTTCCCAGATTGATTTTCTATCCTGGGCTCACTCTCCTCTGCCAAGTCTTGGCACAAATGTCACCTCCTCAGAAAGGCCTGCCCTGATTGCCCTATCTAAGGTGGTGCCCCCACGCGAGGCACTTTCTATATTTTGTAACCTGTTTTATTCTCCTCACAATCCCTACTACAACCTGTAATTATCTTAGTTGCCCAGTTCCCCCCACTAAAGGGTCAGCCCCACGAGGGTAGGAAGTAGGCCTGTGTTAATCACAGCTGGGTCCCCAGCACTTAGTATGAGGCCTGTCACGTAGTAGTAAGCACCAAATAAATATTCTGAGAGCTAAAGGAATGGAGATTTTGTTAAGATCCTCTGAGTTCTGCAGACCGAGGGACATGGGACTTGGCAGGGCCATGCCATAACCTCGGTATGGAGGCTCAGAGGCATCACCAACCCCCTTCCCCTGTCATCCTCCCCCAGGAAGGGTCCCGGGGTGGGCTGCTCTTTGTCCCTCGGATCCATTTTCCACTCTGCTCTGTGTCCCAGGAAGCCAGTCTCGCCTCTGCAGACTGCACCTGCCCCATCTTTGGCTTCCTGCGGTTTTGCCAGTGGGAGTTCTGCTGGGAGGCTGCTGCGCAGGGGGAGGCAGGACATCAGCATGTTTATCCAACTCTGCTCCCCGCCTTGCATCAGCGGCACCCCAGTGCCTTTGTCTCTCTAGGCTGGCCACTGTTCTAGCTTTCCTCCAGTCCTGGGGGCACCTCTCAGCCTCTGCTTGCCCCTTCAAGCCTGCGGGTAGCGATGACTCTCCTCCCGTCCTAGCTCCCTCCGGGGGTTGCAAGATTCCTTGTTTGCTCCCTTACCCCAAACTGCTCCTGGAAGTAATGCCTTTAGTCGACACTCTTGGGGGCAGGCTGGGAGCAGAAGCAGACTCCACGCAGTGCTTCCCTCCCCAGGGGCCTCCAACAGGACATCTGTGCAGGGAGGGGAGATGAGGGTGATCACGTTCTCAGGAGCGCTGACCTGGGAACCGTGACTTTCACAGGCCCTGAGGGCAAGCACCAGCTTCCATCCTGTGGCCTATCGACAGCCAGATCCACCGCACCAACTGTGTTTTGAGCACCTGCTCTGTGCCACACTGTGGATGGTTAAGACATGGACTTTGGACTCACTCGCTGGGTGACGCCAGGCAAATAACGCAACTCTGTGCCTCAGTTTCCTCATCTATAAAATGGGTGTGGAGGATGAAACGGGTTCATACAGAGCGCTGAGACCACAGCCTGGCACATGGAATGACCCAGAACACATCATTCACAGAGTAAACCATTCCTGGATGATGGTCGCTGTAGTTGTGGGTGGGTTGTGACGGGTGCTCTGCTTGCAGAGTCTCCTCCACTCCGACCACCTCCCACACAGGTATGAGTGCTGTCCCCATTTTACAGTTGAGAACTCGGGGGCTTAATCACGGGCCTGAGATCACCCCGGGGAGGAAATGGCAGAGACAGTTTGACCTCTGCTCCCCCTTGACTGCTCAGCGTGGGTGCCCTCCCCTAAACGCACCTTTCCCAACGACCCCCATTCAGGTGCCACAGCCCCCATCGCTGGTCTATCTGCACAACCCTTCCACTGTGACATGGCCTTATTTAAAAATAAAAACATAAATACGTGTTTTTGGAAAAGCAAACTTTCTATCCAAGGGTAAAGGAAAAATTGGCATTCCCGTCTCCATCAAACTAACTCACACAAAATGAAAGAAAGCAGACACTGTTACTCAGTCTCACAGCTTCTCGTTCCTTCCTAAGGCTCTAAGCTGAGCTCTGTGCCCACCTGCTTTCCCACCTGTACCTGCTCTCTTTCTAGGTGTTGAAAGGAGTCAAAATGCATTAGCACCGTCCCAGACTTTCTGCTGGCGGGAGTGGGAGGCCGGGAGAGGGTTGAAAAGGAGACATGTTCCACCATCGAATCGGTCCCTGAATTACCCCAAATCATGGGGTAGTCCTCCAATCATGTTGTTTATCAGTCTGTGTCCCACCCGCCCCTGGAAACACATCAGGATGCTTTGTGCTTTGCACTTGAACTGATGCACCAACCATCTCACCTTCATGTGTGAAACGCACATTCATGTGCCTTCAGATAGACATCAAGCACTAAAATAACATCGAGAGACTTTCCAAGGGATGTCCCACAACTCTCTTCTATCAGAAACAGAGAGCTTGCAATGCTCCAGCCCCCGATCTGTCCATTTTATGTTTAATCTGCATTTCCGCCCATCCAATTATACCCATTTTATTGATGAGGAAGCCGAGGCACAGAGAGTTAAAAGTACTTTTCTCATTATTACATGGTTAAATAAGTGGCAGGCATGGGGTTCAAACCCAGTCTGGCTCGACAAGACTGCTCAAACAGAAGCCCCTGGAAGCAGACCGCTGGGCAAGTTCCTGAGGCTCCCAACCTGTTTCCTTCCTCATTTGTCAAATGGAGCAGCAGGTGGCCAGGTGTCCTCTGAGGGTCTTTTGGGGCTCTGGACCTGTGAGGGAGGTATGGAGCTGGGAGCTGCAGCCTGCATTGGGAGCTCTGGGCCAGATGGTGAGTGGAGCTGGGAGACGTGATCACTGGACTCTGTTCCTGGCACCCATGTTGGTTTTCTCATGCAGCCCCCCAACCACAGTCCCCTTCACCCCCTGCTCCCCAGCAACTATAACCCACCAGCCAGGATGCTACCCCTCTGGATAGAAGTCAAAGCTCTGTGACTGGAGACTGGTGAATAACAGGGGCTAATTATTTCATCAGATCACGTCATCAGTAGGTCGATTTTTGATGAATTCCCCCAGCTCTGACTTCCCCTGGCCTTGTGCCAGCCTCTCTGGATGCTGAAGAAATCAATTAAAAATGACACATGGGATTCTGCCTCCATTTTTTTTTCCTCCTTGGAAAAAGATTCAAAGTGGTTAAACGGAGAGTATGTGGTGAATCTGTACAGCACCAGCAGCCCGATGTTCTGATTATCCCTCGGACACCTTGTCTCATTCCCACCAGCTTGCTGCAAGGTCCACCTGACTCCCTCTCTTTGTCCTGTGTCTTCTCACAGACCTTGGCAAAGGCTTGCCAGTCGAGGAAGACAGCTCTGGAAATGTCTAGTATCCCAAGTGTTCAGAAGCATCACTCCTGCTTCTAGATTTATCTGTTAATCTGCACAGAGGAACAAGTCTCTGGTGGACCAATGACCCCTCGGCCCCACAGACCACAGCTTCGGGGAAGCTCCCGGGACCTCACCCAGGCCTGTCCAGGAAGACCCAGATGGTAGTCTTCCTCTGAGGATCCCCAAATTGCCAACAAGATTAGCCAAGAGGAGTTTGGGAATGATTGGGCAGCTGAGGGGCTGGGAGAGGAGGATGTGGCCGGAGGCAGAACAAGGCACTGACCATATGGAAGAGTGCTCAGGGAGAAGGGGAGAAAGGGGACTGTAGGGTGTGGAGAGA